CTGCCAGATGACGAAAGTATCGTCCACATATCGGAGCCAAACTTTGGGCCTGTGGTCTGATGTGTTGATGGCGAGCTGCTCAAATTCCTCCATGAACATGTCAGCCAGAACCGGGGATATAGGAGATCCCATGGAGGTTCCAGCTGACTGTTTGAAGAATTTGTCCCGCCAGCGGAAGCTCGATGACTTGACACAAGTGAAAAGCAGGTCGTGTAGCTGTTCTGGAGTGAGGTCTGTGCAGTCCTTGAGGGCAAGGTCTGCTGCAAGCCTGTCCTTTGCGATGGTGGTGGCGTCATAGGTGGGGACATTGGTAAATAGTGAGACGACATCAAAGCTGACCATGATGTCGTCTGGCTGGAGGGTGAGGTCTTGGATGAGGGCGGCAAACTGGTCCAAGTTCTTGACGTGGTGTTCGGTGTTCTCTACCAAGGGGCGAAGGATTTTGGCAAGGTGCTTGGCTGTGTCGTATGTGGGGCCTCCTCTGGACGCTACAATGGGGCGCAGCGGGACGTCTTCCTTGTGAATCTTTGGTTGTTCGAAGAACCTTGGGCACATGGAATTGGATGACCGGAGCTGTCTGTAAAGGGGCTGGGTGATGTTGCCGGAGCGCTGGAGAGGGAGAAGCTTTTGTTGCAGCCTGCTCTCGATGGATTGTGTGGGATCCTTTTCCGTTAAGGAAACTGTGATGTTCCCGCCATCACTGTTCCCGCCTTAACGCCTCACCGAGCTAATCCCTACATCTGGATCCCTCTCTACACCATATAAGCTCCACTCCCAGTTAAAATCCTGCAGTCTCCTGAAGACGGACAGAGTACACTGTTCGAAACGTCGAGTTATTCCCCGGTTCTTCTCAGAACCACACATACTCAAAGAAGAGATAAATACACGGTGTAATCTCCTGCTGGCTGTGGTTGTCGAGCTGCATGAAAACACGTAAATTTTGAGACGTGAATAAATAAAATAATTTCCTTATCTCTGTCTTTTAGTAAAGGATTCATTTCAAGCACAGTGCAAATCACTTATTTTTGTCTGCATACAGTACAGTCCCAATTTCGGTAAGGACCCCACCAAAACGGGCCTACAGCGCGAAGGGGTTCGGCAACACAACGTCGCACGCGCTCATTAAAGGAACTGAAACTACAAAAAATAGTACTACTTAAAAAACATAGAAATCCAATACAGTAGCCAATTAAGAAAGGATCGACACTGCACAGTTAACATTCCTCACACGATAAAGGCAACTTCTTACATATTTTGTTTCGGTTTATTTTTAGTTATGATATAACCAAGGACAAATAAATAAAATAATGAAAGAATACCTTAGTCAATAGTCACATCAAGTTAGTTATCCCGATATTAACGCCGTGGTAACCATTCCATGTCATTTCGTTCTTGAAAAAAAATGGGTTTTATAATCAACACGCTATTATTTCTGTTTCAAACCCAGGAGATCCCTACTTAAAACAAGAGGCTGTTGGTGCCACAGCTCCATCAAATGCAAGGGAAAAACATATAAGTACAAGCACAGGATATCCCAGTTTAATGATCTAGGTTTTTCATGAAATAAAACCTTTTCAAAGATAACACACGGCTTACCAACGGCCAGCTTATTCTAAAGGATCCAACCAATGGGATGTCAATATTCAAAACAAATAATGCAAGAAGGCCTTTCAAGAAAAACAATTATAAAATGTTTCAGTTGTGGAATTAAATAACAAAACCTAAGAAACAGAGTTAACAGAATGCAGTAAAACTTCAAACGTAAATCGGATATTGAAATTACTCCATTATCTAAAAATAATGGAGACATTACCAACACAAATTCCCATTTTCACTCAAAACGAGGGGCACAGTCACTGTTAGTTGGGCCAAAGGTACTAAAGTTCAGTTAATCTCCAAGCATTCCGAAATAAAATACTATATGTATAAGAATCAACAAGTTGGCCCACACGTTTAATATTTTAACCTATAACAACCCCTTACTCCAAGCAACGGTTAGTGTCATATTTTTCTCTAATGTTTCAATCGGTATACTAATAATCAAGAGGCTTTGGGCCAAATGGAAAGTATATTGCATATCATAAGAATGTATAGACAGGAAAATACCAAAGGCACAGCCACATAAGCCTTTTAAAATGGCATGAATTTCAACATGCTGCCAGAAACATTAATGTATTGACACTGAATTTATACAAGCCTGATAACCAAAACAATTCCAACACCACAGAGTCAAAACTGATAATTTTTCCAAACCTAGGCCTAAATAAATATTTTGTGAGTCTACACTTTCTGTGCTTGCTAAATACTTGTTCTCTATACAATTAAAAACATGAACTGTCCATAAAAGGGGCAAACTGAGGTCAGGGATTTCTTGATGTATAGTTGTCTATTCAATTGGTAAAATCGGAGTAACTCCCTTTGTCTGAAAAGGGCTTGTGTATCTGAAACTACCAGAAGAGACACGAGGCTGTGGCAACATGGGTGGTGAAAAATGCATTGATTTCGGTTAATGATGTATCGGTTTCGGGACGCCTCATCTGAAATCTCTTTACAAAACATTGGCCTCTATAACTTTCTGTCCACTTATGAGACAAGAGCAACTTTTCTGGCAATAATACACACAAGTAAAAGCCTTGCCTGTTGTGCTATCTACCGTTTTGGGGATTTGTTTGTTGGTTGGGGTGTTTGTTTGTTTGTGTGGGGTTTTTTTTGGGGGGGGTTACTTTTCACCCACTGCACATTGTTAGGAAATCAAAAGCTTCAAGGTTCAGGTCACTTGACAGCATCCAGATATGATCGCATCATTCTATGGGAACTCTCAAAGGAGTTTCTGTGAAAATGCACATATTTATTTTTCTGACGGACTATTATTAGCAGAATATTGGCTTTTACATACAGGAAAACAAGCTCAACAGAGGGAACAAATGATTCAGTGGTGAAAGTATTTATCATGAACTCCACCAACCAATCGCTACTGCACTGAGTTTTATACTCAAATTGCAAATTCTCTTTCTGTGATATGCTTACAAATATACACTGCCGGGAATATTCCAATGAACACCCTCCAAGGACATGATCCATTCTCATGATCCACTATATATGCGCAAGAGCAAAATGCCAAGCCATGATTTTGACTTGACTATTTTTCCCATCACCAGCATTTTTGTAATAAAAAAGCCATTCTTTTGCATCAAATGGCACACTAAATGTAGCTCCACACCAATAACTACTGAACGAAAAGTAAATCCCACTCCAAAATATTAACTTCAATCAGTGAAACAAAATCTTACTCGTCCCGTTCTCTTATAGTTAGCCGGTCACCATGGGCATGTCGCCTAATACATCTTGTTAGTAGAGGGGATTTCTCATGCTCAGCCACAGCAAGGTAATTATGAAGCAAGGCAATTCGGGAGAGTTCAGCTAAGCTGAATATTGGTGTGCAAAAGTTATTACAGAGGTCGAAAGCAAGGGTCCTTAACGCTGCAATATCAAAACCTGATGCGTATTTCAGTTTCAGTCCAAACTCCCCCCCAATAAATGTTGCTGGGACATCCACCCTGAATCTTGCAAATCCCCTCCCATGCAGAAACCCCACAGCACATTCTTTGCACATGTACGTGTACTTCAGTTTTTCAAAGGCTGTCAAACACTACGATGTGAAATGACCCTGGCAGTACTCTCCTGCCAAATTCGGGACAAAAGCTTATGCACTTTCTCTTGGCATGGATGTGCTAACGAATGCATGCACAGGATGGTTGCTATGGCTACATCAATGATTCAAGCAACTTTTTTTCTCTGGGTGAAGCATGCTTTTAATGTGCCTCATGGCCAGTTTGAAATGTACAGTGGCTCCAGCCACAGCCAAGTAATTCAGACATGGCCTTTATCGACTGTTAAGCAGCACTACAGTATGGGGTACTACCAAATAAATCCATGTGAATCGGGGAGTTATTGTTTTGAGTTGTGATACATACATAGGAATGAACAGAAAGTGTGCAGGTCATGAATCTAACCACTACAGTCTTGCTTTGAACATCAAACCCAAAGAATCTAAATGGATTGCGTCGTCTCTTGTACGTCACACATAAATTCTTTACATCTGGTTAGTTGAAAGCTAAATACCTGGCATGGAATACTACACTCCAGCAACCACAGGCATGAACAAGTTTCCATGGTAACTTACAGTACCAAGCGAATCAATAAACTATAATTATGTTATTGCCAAAAATTCTGCTTAATCATAATTAATGTACAATAATATACACAAAAACAATTCCAAAAGTAAACATGATTTTGATAAAAAAACACTTAAGTAACTCTTTGGGATACTATGCGTCAGCGAACAGACCAACCCTGTGCTTTTTTAATCAGATCTGTCCTGCGAGTGATATTTGCCATTGATTTAGAGAGGACACCCCTTCTTTTAAATCAAGTGATACACTGGCATGTTCCGGGGGTGCCGTCAAATTTGGCCTAGGTAGGCCTACGGCTGCATCCAACACTTGTGTCTGGAACTAAGTCTAGGGCTCCACCTGGAGCAACAGACACAGCCACCCTTGTAGCTCTGGAAGCTGTTTTTAGACAAAGCATGCAGAAGTAGAAATCGGCCAGCACAGAGTGTCAAGGCGCAGGTGTGGTTTCAAGAATTACCTTGATCATCCTAATTTGGACAAAAAGAGCCCAACAGAAGCCTTTCCAGTGGCAGAATGCAACAAGGATGCCTGCAGCAGGCCAAACTTGAAGGGGCTACTCTACCATTATTTGAATCCGAAGCTCATCTTTGATAAAACAGCGTGTATTGCAGCAGCCAAATGGAATGCAAACGTGGCAAGTACAAGCCAGAAAAATCGAACAAAAAATCCAAAAACACATACGTGAATGGAAATGCTAAGGCAGATGCCTATTAAAGCATGCATAGTAGAGAGCACTGCAATTTAAAGCTATTTTTTTTTAATGTCCCGTGCACCTGATACATTTCTGTCCTACTAGTCGCGAACGTTTGTGAAGAAATCTTCAAAAATAGCTTCAAAATGAGTGAATGCAGACACGAAAGTGTAGTGAATTCCTTCATTTAGTTGCTTTGGCCCAAGCATCCGGCCACGTGGTTGTAAATAAAAAGTCGGACCACAGTAGGCAGAACACTGTCCTCTTCCCTGTAACCCGTGGTGCATAACACGTTTATAAAAGACTCGGCGTGGGCAACACAGCCTCCACTCTCTTCTCACGACGACTACGCTGAGGCAACAAAGTCCTTCCTACTTACATCGAAATTTCGTCCTGTGTGGGCCTTGGAAACAGGTTCGGTGGCATTTGCCCCTCATGGCTGACGGGTCCATGTAGCCGAGTCCTAGCTACCTCGTCTACAGTTTGACAGTAAAATTTAATTTACAAGCTCGGCAGGTTGCAAGCAGTCTTTTATTTAATTTGGTTAAGCCTCAGCAGCAGCAGGCTAGTTTTTACTTCAACTCGGCAGTTGCGAATTATTTTGATACAAAGTTCAAAATTAAAAAATAGCATTCACTAAAAAAGCAGCCAGTTTTTATTTTTGTTGCCCGAATTACATGTTGTTCAGCACCCACTACAAAGAGCATAGACAACTAAGTACACTGCTATAACCAAGGAATAAAAACAATCCAAAGCGCAAATACACGTAGTTGGAGAGAACAACCATGGTATGGTATCATTCACCCTCAGACATCAAATTACTGCAGCCAGCCGCAGTGAGGGCTTCCTAGTGCCAGCATTGTACATGCTGCAGGCCGGAATGTCATTTCTTCCAAAGAACAGTTACGTCGTGATCATATCGCACCGGTTGAACTTTGATTCAACAATCATCGACTACCCAATAATGAAGACTACTTCTACTTCTGAATTCAGGAAGCCGTCTTCAGATGGTAGATATACCACCCAGAATATTTCATTTGTCCGCTCTCTCACTACAGAACTCTTTCCTTTAAATTTCTTCAAATGCTGAGATTGAGGTCGACAGGCNCGGCTCGTGCAGTATAACTACATGAACCAGTAGGAACACCTGAATACAGTGAAATGACTTATGCTAGATCCTAGGGCCTGAACCCTAGGCCCCACAACTGTCATTCCAGTGTTCGAACACTCGTAAACTTTCCGAACAAAAAATGCACGCGCAGTGAGAACATCCCAAATGCAGGGGGGGGGAAGGTTGGGGGGAAGGATGGGAGAGAGAGGGTGTGGCTACACACTTCCGCTGGCATTATTAGACTCTGACTTGGAGTTCACATTGTTCAGCCCTAGGGCCTCTATTAGGTCATCTAAGACCGCGTAGTCTTTGGTGTTGAGGATGTGGAACTCCTGCGAGAAGAGGACCATCTGGCAGAAGAGGCTGTTCAGGTGCCGGTGGAGCTCAAACTGCAAGAAGAGTTCGTAGTGGGCGTGGTAGATGTGAGCCATGATGTGGAAGAGAAGTCGGATGACCTGCTGGACGAGCTGCTCAAAATCACTAGGGAAGACATGACCTGAAACACAGGGCAAAAACCTTCACAGGTGATCAAAGCCCCAAGTACAAAAACGTGCACAGTTTCAACAGAACTTGCAACAAAATAAGAAAAAAAAAGAACAAGAATAATACTATTCTAAAACAATAATAAGAGAAAATTTTTTAAAATTCGAGTTCACATTCCAAACAGTTAAAATTCAACCTCTATCAAAGCCGTAATGTAGGACCTCACAAACAAGCTTCCACAGTAGCTTCAATGAACACCACAGCTGTAGCACATTACCAGTATATACTATATACATGTACCATGTTATCACATGACTGTTTGCCAGTCGAGAGCAAAAGTGAGTACCACGCCACTGGTTTAACTGCAAGATTCTTTACAGTGCGGGGCCCCTACCGCACTCACAGTATGCCACATCTTCAAAATACATGTACAGGTATTCCCACTCAACATGTTGCTCCTCCCCATGCCTGTCCTTAGCCTATTGAGACTGTGCAAGGTTATCCACGGTTGGCAGATAAAAGCAATAATGCTATATTGCACAACTGAAGGTGTACAATGGTTACCAGTACATGTACATTATGCTCTGCCCTAGTGAAGATTTCCGCTTTAACCACTTCGTGCCGGGGCATTTTTCAACGTTGATGATGATGGGCCGGCACGACTATCATTTTTTCCATTTTCAAAATCCTTCAAAAATTCATCATTCTATTTAACGGTTGTTTATAGCCGCACGAAGTAATCTTTAGGCACTACTCTAAGTTGACAGTTGACCTTCATTGACGCCCGAGTTTTTCAGCCAGGCCTGCAGCCTTGTAAACAGAGCCCAGATTGTGCGGTGTTATACAACTGTCAGTGCACTGCTGACCTCTTTTCAATAGGGGCAAGATTAGCGTGCAGCGGTGCTGTGTGGCTTATCGCTGCAGTGGTGGAGCGCTTTTGTCCCCTGTGGTAATCCGCTTGCTCTCAATGCCCCAAACCCTGGTATACGTTTTCAAAACAATGCTGGATTATCACCACTTTTGAGAGTGAAAAATGCCCGTAATGCCCAGCAGCCTGGTCTTTTGTTCGGAGTATGGTCTTTTGTTACAGGGCGCTGTTTCCTTTGTCCGAGTTCGGAGACCCCGGCCAGCATATAAACCATACGGCTCCGATTTCAGAGTCCCCGGCAGGTAGTGGTTAAAGTTCCAAGTTTGATAGACCTGACGACACTTGAGAACCAGATGTCCTCCTGAAAGTGAAGTCTGAATCTTGTGTCATTGAGATATATATGTACATTTAATTCATCAACAGACTTGGCAACATTTGGAGGCGGACCCCTGATCCTCAACTTTCTGGTTGATGAATGACTTGGAAAGGAAAAGGGAAGGGAAGTCATTTGTCAACTCAACGAGTTGCACTGGAATGTATGATTAGTACACTTTCAAAATGGAGAGGGTACTGGTACTAGTGCATGTACATTACATGTACACTGTACCTTTCAATTTCAAAACAAACTTGAATGTATCCTACAATGTTACGGTACTCCTGTGTACCGGTGCACGTACATGTACATCTACATGTACGTACTGTATATGTACCAGTGATCAGGATAAAACCTAACACATGGACTGCTTGGCCAGAATCTGTGCTGTGATTCAAGATTACACATTTGCACTCAAACATGTTCTGTATTAAGTGAAAAAAGGTCCCTCTCCCACATGAAATTGAGTGCTACATTTTAAGAGTGTTTCAGCTAATGCCAAAAGGCAAAATACCCAAAATGTACCTTTATACGTGTACATGTAGGTTAAACTTGAGCTGAGTACGGTATGTGTACATGTCTTCTGGTTGGTTAATGTACGTGATGTACAGGTACTAAAAAAAGAGAACTGGGTGGAGGCCTAGTTTGGTCAAATGCTTGGTATCTGGGCACCAGTCGCAGCCCTGAGATTTTCACATGTACATGTAAATACAGCGTATATGCAGAAACTATTGCTACCGGTACTTTTTATTACATGTACTGGTATGACCAATTAATGACCAAGTACTTATACATGAATATCAGCTTCACGGGCTTACCATATTTTGTTGGTAAAACCGCTTCATCGGTTATGTGCTTTTGTATGAAGGACATGGCATAGTCGATGTACTGCGGTGCCGTCACCTTGAGTTTCTTGTTCTTGTCATCCTGCCAGAAGTATTGCCTGTAACCCAAAAAAAAAAAAAGGAGCTGTTCCCTCAAATTAAAAAAATCAGACTCAACCCTTATAAGCCTTAATGCAATACTCAATGTAATATTTAAGATGTAAGTGCCTGGAGGAAGTTTGATCAAGAGCTACACAGTCATGCACTCAGATCGGTCAGTGTTAGTTGCCTGTGTCTTTCCACCTCTGATGGACCAGTCTAGCAAGATTGGTTGTGCTGCTCATATCAAATAATGTACAATGTACATGTACCACAATGAGCAATGCTGCAGAGATGATGTAATGAAATCTGACTATACCGGTTGTCTGGTACATGTACTTCCCAGTGAAATATGAAAACTTAATCAGACACCTGTTCTGGTACCGGTACATGTACAGTATGTTTGAAACGAACAACTCACTCAAACCGCTCGGGCCCATTTCAGAGGAAACACCCTCAATCCATCAAAATCCTCAAAATATCCTCATGAACAATTGGCAAAGCCTCAATCCTCAAAAATCCTCCAATATTTCTTGAAGAATGTTCCGTAGAGGGGTGCCCACTGCCTCAATCTTTCAAAATCCTCCGGCAATTACTCTCATTGTGTTGAGGCAGTGTGAATAGTACAGCACATAAAACATGTATATAAATATGTTCCGGTTTACTGGAGCAGTATGGAGGATACTGGTGCATGTTTATTTGTGGGCATGAATTTAAGTATAGCTGAACATACATACAACCCACATCCTTGAGACAATGCATCCTTCGCTACCAGCCATGAAATTTTCCCATGCAGCCTCCATCCTCCAAAACTGGTGGAGGATTTTTGAATGCTTTGGGGTGGTTAGGGTTAATGAAAACAAAATGTCCTGATTTTTCATATGCATCTCTTAAATTCCAGGATAACTGTTTTCCAGCCACAGAGAGACAAAACACTACCATAATCAATCATCCAGTGGATACGCTGTTTGAACATGAGACAAAATTTAACAGACTGACCCTTTTCATTTTCAGGCAGATCTAACTCCCTGACTTTTGCCTGATTTGAGACAATTTTTCTCATATTCTTTGACCTTTCCCTGACAAAAAAAGGAAACTCGGTTTCCAGGTTTTCCCTGATTTCAAGAATGGCTGGGAACCCAGTCTCGGGTTGAAAAAGTCACGTAGCGGTACATTTACATGTACATGTAGTCAACAAGGAGAGACAAGTACAGTATGTACAATACAGTAAGTGTCACATATACATGTACTTTTTGCTCTATTAAATGCAATCTTGTTTCCAAGGCTGCTTTGGGGAATGAAAGCATTTATGACCCATTTATCTCCCTCAAGAGAGAAACCTTCATCTTGAAAATGTGCATTCAATGGCATCTGAGTAATGTACGTGTGCATGTACAGTACATGTAGATTTCTGCAGTGGCACACTTCAATTTCTTCTGGTCTTTCCTTCTTAATCCTGCAAAGTATCTTTTCATCAGTGCATTGAAGACTTTGGGTACACTGTACTGAACAATGTATGTCATCTCAGAGTAATGACTTTACAAATACACTACATGTACATGTACATACTCTTCCCGTAACTTTTCGTCTTTTTATCTAAAACTATTAACCAGCATAAAAGCACTTGAGAGCAAAGCAAAATCTACCAGTAGATGCACCCTTGTATGGAAGGTACGGTATCACATCAGGCATCAAAAGCTTTCATTCAAAACTATTTTTAAATTTTCCTATTTGTTCAAGGAGCACTTAAGGAAGAAATGGGCTTCAGCTTTCAGACCGACTTTAGGTTATGTTTGGACAACAAGCCCATGTTACCCATGTCTGTTTGACCAACACCAACCAGATAATGATTGTGTTTACTTTTCTACTGAAGTACATCCAGGATACACTGATAATCTGCTGAAATTCACAGAACATGTGCAAATTGCTACCTTATCAAAGCTCAAAATACAAGTACCCTGTGGACCCTTCTGTGAGTTTCTACACATACATGTACATATGTACACGTATGCAGTTGATACATGTATGCATAATAAATCTGACAATGTACAAATGTATATGTATGTATGTACAGTCCTGGTACAAGTATGATTTTGTAAGTTTAAACACATTCTTTTATTTCAAAGGATGATAAAGTAAAGTCAATTACCAACATGTACCGGTATCAAACAAAATGACAGTACAGTGTAGTTTGAAGCCACTTCATAATTTCGAGGTAAAATTACACAGGTCAGGTGTACCAGGGACACGAAAGTGTCACACTTTTGGACCCAGAAGATAGAGAATGACCCACATGTACATGTACAGTTGTACAGTAAGAGCATGGTAAGGGTACAATGCTAAAATGGATGGGCCATGCTGGGAAGATTTCTTGTAAAACATGCATCAACACATAAAACAAACATAACAAGATAACACATCTCCATAAATTTAAAATGCGTAGAAATATGTTAAAAATTGCAGTTTTCACAACCCTATTTCACTCCCTTCTCAGAGCAAAAGCTAAACAACAGCCGTCGGGTACAGAAAGTTGTCTGAAGAAATGCCCACGAATCGTGACGTCATAGGACACTGTCCTTTATCCGGCGACTGTTTACCGTTACGCAATGACGCGTCGACATGTACGTAATGTAGAAGTAGCGTTAACAATAACATATGCAATCATGTCAGACTCAAGCGATGATAATTCCAGCGATGATGCCTTTTCCCAATTATGACAGTGATCGCATGTCAAGTTCGTTTTATTCATTTGACAAAAAAAGCAACATTAAAGGAGCTGATGAGGCACAAGAAATATTGCCTTGTCAGTTTGCACCAGAATATACTAAGGAAGAGATTTTGCAACTCGAGGCTGTTGGCCACAGGCATGGCGGCTTCCTGGGGATCAACAAAATAACACTGGCTGGTCATGATTTTTTCCTGCACCATTAGGCCTATAAAAATTTGTCTTTCTAGAAAGACGTAATTGTCCTACCGTTGGCTATTCAATAGCTGTATAGTAGAAGTCGTTTTGTGTCCATGGTTATAGGCTAGACTACTTTGTCTAAGTTGGTGTTCCATTCCCACAATTTTTTTCACCGTGCACTGCGAGTCACTTGCTTAGCATCAACACGTCGCGTGACGACCGTGCGGCATTATTTGCACCGAAAAATAGTCCACATGCGCCAGTGCAATATAGCCCATTTTAAATCGTACTCATAGTGTCAGCACTGGTACGTGTGCATTTAAACACCCACTTGTATTTTGAGTCTTCGTAAATATCTGATTGTGTGCTATCAAATCTAACCCACAATCACTGGTGTGAAAAGTCGCTTGGGAATCTACAAAAACTGCTCTCCAGGGAATTGTTTTGATTGATTGCGGCAAGAACCACTGACAACACAGTTTATCAGTATTCTTCCAAAATTCACAATTCACCATAGAAATTATTACATGTGTACAAGGCGATGCAAAACAAACTAAACACGATGCGTCAGGTTAGCTGTGCCGCATGTCAAGAGAAGGGTATAGGAAATAACACCGAATGTGGTTGACCTGACACGTACAAGTTACATACCCGACTACGCGCCAGAGCAGAGAATACTATTCTTGCGTGGACTGATCAATTTTCTTGCTGGAACTATGCATTCTTGTCTGGAAAGTCAAGTCCATCCAATGATGTCACATTTTTGTCAAGATTTGTCTGCTGCCCTCATTAACCGATTTCAATTAGTTTTTGTGAAGAGCCCAGGTGGAGACTGAAAAAAGGACACAGAAAACATCATTTTTTGCTGATTTAATGACATAAAAGAGGGGTTAATTTAACTCATTGTATATAAGACGGTTGAAAGGTTGAAACTGTCATATAACGTCAATTTAACCCTTCATGGCCCATCCCCTTTAAAAACAAAATGGAAAAACTTTTCAGAGACATGAAAAGCTTACATGTACAATGCACATGTATGAACTGCAACACAAAATGTATTAAATAGCCCCTGGGACTATATACAGTAATACATTTTATTCTCCCATAGCAATCCAGATGGGAAGTATCAAGCTAATTGGATATTTTAATGTTATTCTCCAAGGAAAAGGGGTTACATGTATATTTTTTCACACAGGAAAAGCAGTTTCATTTTCAAAAGGACACACTTACGTGTTCCCCGGTGCTGACATGCTTGGACATGTATCATTTGTGCAGGCTTCGCCCGACGTGACTCCATAGAGAACATTAACATTGTTAAAAAATTCTAGAGCTGTGGAGAGAGAGAAAAAAACAGTTTTAGAACTGAATGACTGAATTTTTTACAAAAGAAAAGCCCATGCTTATTTTGTTTAATTTTTTGTACAATAGCCGAATAAATATCCATCCAAGTTATTTTGTATGTTAGTATGGAACATTCTAGAACATTCATGATAAGACGACATTTCCAGACACCTGGGGGATGCTGGCAACGGCTTTTATTCAAGTAGAGATCTATTCCGGCACTATGTACATGTACCCTTACCAAAATTATACCGTGTTTCAGGTTTTGTCTCATGAGGGAACATGTAATTCCAGAAATTAGGGGTCCAAAAGTGTGAAATTTTAGTGTCCCTGTTACACCTGACCTTTGTTGTTTGACATGGAAATATCACCAGAATTGATTTCGAACTCCATGTATTACTATTTGTTTGGAAGGTAATATGCATACATTCATCACTCATGGAAATTAGAAAATGCATTTTGAACTTACATGTACAATATCATATATCGATATGACAGGGACGTGAAAAAAAAGGACCCCTAATTTCTGGAATTACCCACATCCATGCAATGAAAAGAATCATTTCTTATGGTAATGGACCCAGAGAATTAATCTTAACTCGGCACTAATTTATAAACATTCATTAGTTGAAGACCAGTGAATGGACCAATACTGGTACATGTACAATCTATGTGCATTTTAATTTCATGTCTTCATGTGCTATATGACTCAAGTAAATAAAAAAACCCACAAAGTTACATGTACATGTATAATACATGTAATTAACTGAGTTCATAATATGTACATGTAAGTTCAACTCAGGCACAATCTCACAAGTTTCAGAGTTACTGTGGAGCTTTTCCAATTTTTTTTTTTTTTTTGAGTTTCTTGAAAGGGAATATTCTTTTCGCTTTAGAGTCCAACACATGGTATGGGTCCAATGTACTGGTACCAGTAAGTGCTCGTACAGTGTACATGTATGGCTCTCAGATTTTGTGGCCTACATGTACATGTTGTACATGTACCTATAGTGGTTAGGGTTGAGACTCATGATCAGAGGGTCAGGGGTTCGAATCCAGCTGCTGGCCACACACGTAAGTTGTGGCCTTGAGCTGATTAGTACGCCCCCACTTGTCTCTATCCGGACAGGTCTAGAAATTGGCACTGGCATTTGCTGGGGAGCAACATGTTATGGACCGTTATCCCATATACCAGTATTCTCAGCTCTTTCATGCAAATGAAAATGGACTGATGAGCTGCAGTACATGTACATGTAGCTCAGGACAGACTTGCTTTTATTAGGCTCTTGTAATAGTTGATGTGATAGTCCAGTCCATCAAGTCTCCACAAGTACCGTACTTGTACCATATACACGTACCTGTATACACATGTACATGTAAGTCAATTTCAAGTCCCATGTTGCTTGTCATTGGATTTGCGAACTGACCACTGATTTACTTACGGCTGAATTTGTGGTATGGACTTTTCATGGACTCAACTGAAAAACTGCCGACAATACTCACTATTGGAGCCCAGCCACTCGTTGAGATCAAGCCCCTTCGGTAACCGTACAACTTCCCGGATATCAAAGTCTATGATCTGTGCTCCCAGATACTTGGGCTCCAGAAAGATCTTGGGCTCGTCAGGCGTGGTCACTGGTTGTGGTTTCTTGTCTTTCCCTCTTCCAGCTTTTCTGTGAATTTGAAAAAAAGGAGAACTTGTCTAGGATTTTCTTTTAAGCTAAAAATCAGTTTTTCAACTTTTCCTTAAGCCATGTCATCTTACCAGTTAAGCATTGTTCCCAGGATGAGGAAAAAATCAAGAACCACGGTGGGCTTAAGTTAGGCTAATGTACACGTACATGTACCTATACATGTAATCTGAATTAACCTTATTACAGGCAAAAATCTTATGTTTCATAAGTCTGTTCCACAAACCGAAACACATTCTGACCTGCTGAACAAACTTTAGCTGAATTTCCACAGCATTAAAATCTGTGTACTGTACCGGTAAGTACCACTTCACACCTTTACTTAATTATGGTACAAGTACCGGTACCACGTACATGTACCGGTATATGTGGGTTATCTTGAGGTGGAAAGAAATGTATTCACAGTATAACTATTCCTGAGGCTGTTTTTAAGCTTACATGTACATGTACATGTACGTGTGCATTGTACAACCAGTACATGTACAGTATGTTAATCATTGTCACATCTTCTGGGAGCTGCATACGAAATGTGCACACATGTGGAATTGAATCTTGAAATCAAAATTCTTGTAAGCCTAAAGTTTTGACTCAAGGACATGTTACAAATTAATCAAGCCCTACGTTTACATGTAGCTGAACACAACCCATTATTTAAAACTTAATCCAAATTAGCATTAATATATCTTCCTGACACTGCCAAATTTGTGAGTACCTGTACATACATACCCGGTACACGTATATGCACTGTACCCAAAACGGTGTACAGTACATGTATGTACATAGACACATGTGAGATGCTAGTATTCCCCTTGTCGTCAATGTATCAATTTGCAAATATACTTCTCAAAACAAGTTAAGGACCACTTTTTATTTTGTGTATACCGGTACTTTTTTTTATATAAGATATTACTGCTAAAAATGTGCATTTGGTGTTTGGAAACATTTTCTAAAATTTTTTATTCTAATGAGAACACCATCTAGACAAACAAAAAAAAGAAAGAACTAGATCCCACTCATTGCTCGGAAAAAAATTACAAGTTAAGAAAAAAGTGGTCTTTAACTTTTTTCAAGTAGATATTTTTGCATACATGTACATGTACATGTACAGTGCACCTGTACACTTTGTACATGTACCTGTACATACATGTACATGTACATGTAGACAATCTATTCACGGACTACTCTGCTGGTCAGTGACATTCCTTCTTCCTGCCAGCTCCTGTGCCATTCTGAATGTGCGTCTTGGAATATTAAGACAAAAACAGCTGCACCTGATCCCAGAGAAGTGGTAACACTATAACTCAGCCCGGCAAGTCACAAGTCTGTGAGCAATACTGCTCTCTTGCTATGAATACCACGGGTGTCAGACTGTCAGGTTGTTAAAGGATCATTTCCAATCCTCGAAAATTTGACTAGGCAAGTTCTTATTCAGAGTGAATAAGAGTGTAACACCCTGCAAAGACACATGTGTGTAGAGGTAACACCCCTGAAATTATTCCCTCAGATGTGCATGTACTCACATTTGGTAAACCAAACCAAATCTTGAGGTGACAGAAGAAAGGAAAACTTAAACACTAAATTTGTGCATTGTCTACAGAATTGATCGTCAATTAAGTTTTCTTCTCTGTTTAAAAGCGAATGTACATGTATATGTAATTCAAAAATGTACTGAATAATTCAGAGATGTTTTTCTTTCACCCTTCACTGTCTTTGTTAACCCTCATGCCGTGGGTACATGGAAATGTGATAAATTGCGCTGCAATTAAGGGATTCAAACTTCTTAGGGTTATGATATGAACTTGCAATGTAAACTTTCTTCTGGAGGTGAAAAATGTTTACTATGGCTAAGCTATTGAAAATAATAACAAGCAATATGTGCCCGGTACATGTACATGTACACACTGTACATGCATATACACTGCTGCATCTGTCTACTTTTTGTAAGTATGCACACAAATGTTCATGTACATACTGTACATGTACATTTATGATGCCTTAATTTTGATTGACATACAATTTTTAGGCCTACATCATCTATACCACCTACCCGCACATGTAGTTACCAGTACATTAAATGCAACAAACATTACATGCACTTGAATAGAAAAAACTTGTTGAAAAAATGTTTAACTACTGGATTTTACACATGAATGTATTGTACATATATATATACAGTACATGTACATGTACAAGTACATGTATGTACGGTACATGTATACAGGTAATTCCAGAAATTAGGGGTCCAAACGTGTGACATTTTTGTGTCCCTGTTACATGTAAATCTGACCTTTGTTATTTGACATGGAAATATCACTGGAATTGTTTTCAAACTACATGTATTACTTTTTGTTTGGCAGGTACAGTAATTTGCATTAATTCATCACTCTTGGAAATTAGAATATGTGTTCTGAACTTATAAAATCATATGTCAGATTGTACATGTACTATAACAGGTACATGTACTATAACAGGCACATGACAAAATGGTCCCCTAATTTCTGGAATTACCCATATTAAGCTAGATTTTTGGAAAGGCATGCATTTTTAAGGCCTCCCTGATGATCACTTGATCTTGTTGGGTGGGGCCCACAATCTCACAAACTTGGGGTTTCTCAGTCTGAGTTTCGAACACTGCTGGTACAGCCCCAGGGAATTGCCCATTCATGTACAACAGGTGTTACATGTAGGTAGGGTGTGGGGCATCTGGATGAGGTGAAGATGTGTGGTTGTATAATGCTCAATTTACAAGGACAATGTACCTATTTGGATGACATGGATGAGGATGACAGGATGATGGATTAGGTTGAGACTTCTGGAAAGTGCAAGGATAATCATGGCTAATTTAAAAAGATGAGTCAGGTGATACCTTGAATAAATTTGACTTGGAAAGATGTACCTGTGAATTTATGAATCATGCATTCTACTTGTTCAAACCTGCTTTACAGTGTATTTTCACTTAAAATGTACAATGTACATGTACTTACTATGTACATGTACTGTACATGTGTGCAAATTAAGCACTGCTGTTCGTATTGAAAAACATCTTCATTTGTATTCACATACACTTTCATTTTAATGCACTATTTGTCGAAGTGACCATGGACACTTGGGATTTGTGGCCAATTTCATCAAACTGTTGAATGTATATGTACATTGTACCAGTACACAAATCCTAAATATGATTAGACAAACAGGGTAACCAACCGAAATGTCACACTCACGTGATGTTCATGTACCGGTATTGCCACGGTTTGACTCATTCCCAGCTGGTATGCTGCTCCGCAGAACAAAATTTTCAGATCACTTCTCTAAACAAAACAGCTTCACTTTTCAGTTTCTGATGAGTCTCTTTCTCATGTTTCTCTTACTTTTTTCCCGACCCTACGGTTTTGTCATTGTACATGAGTCTTGTAATGTGTGTGTGTACATGTACATGTATTGTCATCGTACATGTACATATACATGTACATGTACATGTAGTTCAGATACATGCAATATTGATCTTTTCATGGCATCTCTGTGAATTTTTCATATTAGAAATACAGAACCTTATTGTACATGTATATGTACATGTTGAATGTTTCTTTAGTTGGGGAGAGGGTTGGCAGGTCCATGAATCACAGTGAATTTTTCACTTTTGCTATTTCTTTTTTTCTTTTTTCTTTTTTTTTAATCGATCAATTCAGGACTTGGTGTTGCCATCAGAAATGACAAACTCAGCCCAGTAGAAGTCACATCAAGAAACTACATTTCATATAAACTACGGTACAGCATAGTCATTAAGTACATATTCACTGCACCTTTGAAAACAGAAGTGGCAGGAAATACCAGTACATGACAAGGAAGAGAATTCCATACATGTAACTGACTACAGTTCTTGGAACGTACAATGTACATGTACCAGTATATGAAGACAGATAAAGTGTAGGTATTGGACTTTGGAATATTTACAGTAAACGACAATTTTGACAGTAATGTTCTTCTGCTTTTTTGGCTTTTTTATTGCTTTGTATTTTCCTGAACAGAAGAAACTAATAATTACACTGTATACCAACAACCCTGAAACTCAGTTTGGAAATTTGTCGTTACTAGAATTTTTATGAAAGCACACAAAGTGGCTATAGCAAAAAAGGGTTTGGTTCACATGGACACAGTCCCCATTACTCAGAGTTCAAAGACGTTATGTGCACTTGCGCATGCCCACACATTTTCCCCTCTCTGAAATATACAGTCTTCTGTAGAGGTATTTGGGGTCAGGGTTATCTGCCACAAAATGAAAGGGAACAATCAAGGAGATCATCATAAAAAAGTCCAGCATGAAGGAATGTTCGTGGTAGAAGAAAAACAAGTATATTCACTGAGTTTTTGTTAAGTATTGCAGAGAAACAACGAAATATCCATATTAAGGTAATGTTAACCGAGTATGAGAACTGTGCATACATGTACGGTACAACAATGTACCGGTATATGTACTACCGGTAGTAGGCATGGGCATGTCTACAATGTACATGTACATGTGTACATTTTTCACACTAACTTTATTCACATGGTCAATGAAATATTTTCTCGACAAATCTTTCCATAATCGATTATTTTGCCAAAGGCCTTGTGCCATCTGCACTTGAATAGAAATCCATAGATACAGTACACATTGTCCTCCCTCTTCATAGTGCCACAGATGTGATCACTTGGGTTATCATCTGGTACAAGGTTCTTCCCAATCAATATTAAACTGAAACCGACTGAGGAAAATCAGTGTAAACAGTAACCATGACAAAATACGAGTGATCCGTAACAGCAGGGGCATAAAAACCATCCGTGTGTACATGTATATCAACAACACCTTTCCTTTTGAGAAAATTGGGAAGAAAAAGTAGGTTATCAAAATACAATCTACACTGTACGTGGCGATACAATGAATTTGTAAGAATTCACTTGATGTGCAATGCATGAACTGCTACAAAATCAAATCCTGTATGAAC